TCATGAAGCAAAGAGCACCTTTTTGTTCTTATTGAAAAACAATATTTGTTAAGCTGGAATAAAATATACATTATTCTAACAGATATATTGAATGAGAAACGAATACAAGACGCTTCCCTGCTACACACACAATTTGGACTAACCCGCTTTGGCCGAAGGAAAAATAACAATACCCCCTACCCTTTTCTGAGCCCTTTCTACTCTCATCATTTTCATACAGTCCCTCAGGTTAAATATTTTAAAGTGTTTACATCCCTGACTTTGTAAAGCAAAATAATGAGGCCCAGTGTGAAAAATCCCTAACTGCCCATCCGTATTTTCTAAAATGTAGTCCTATTCAATGAAACAGCATTTTAAAAATACAAAAGTTAGTGTGTAGAGGAAGTTGGAGATGATGGATTTGCCAAACAAACACAGGCCTTTAACCCAGGGGGCCACTGATTGAATCCTGTGAGGAACCAAAAATAAACGTATGTTCGTAACTAGATTAATGTTACAAACATAGTCAATTTAATTAAACAAACCCTTGATCTTTTCACTGAACCTTACCAAGTTGTTTTGTTTTGTTTGACATACTTAAAACGCAGACCATAATCTGGGAGCAAAAGGTTTCCTCCCTGGATCATAATTGAGAATGCACTTTCATTATGGGAAGAAGACAGGGTTGGCCTGCCTTAGGGTGGACATTTGATTCATGTTAAGACATGGCTGGCGGCTACTCAGAGTCAATAGATACATACATACATAATTAATGACTAAATACATTAATAAATATGTTTGACTATAGCCCACTGGTGCTAATTTCGGGCCATGACACTGAAAGAGATGGGGGTTATAGGGATCTTTTGGCAATGTGTTTGAATAATGCATCACGTCTATTTTGTCATTAAGTTACATACACGTTCACCACTTATCTTGGGCTAACTAGGTCACATGGACGCACATTGCCCTCCTAATGTGGCCATTATACACAGCTGGAGTGTTCAGTAACAAACAAAAGCTGCAAAATGAATCTGTCAACAAAGTGTTTGCAACAAGATACTTATTTTTGGTCATATAATAGTTGTTTTAAAACATATTGATTGGTATTGATTCATTTGAATGTCAAAGAAAGATGTTGTTGCTTTTGGCTCACGGCAGGTTCCCAGGTGTATTCCTTTTTCTTCTTTGTATTCACTCTTTACCCTCCCCCACAGCTCCCTTCACTCACATGTAATCCCTTTTCAGTAAATGTTGTACCATTAGTCCATTATTGAGGCATAAGGATTAGAATGAAGCCTGCATCTTACACTGACTCTTCGATCTTTTAAAAAAATATAAAAATAGTATTCCTGCAAGCAGATGCCCATTCCTAAAAATCTCCCATTATTGTACACTCTCTGCCCTCTGTAAACATTCATTATTATGCTTAAGGTTGGATAATATATTCATTAAATTACTTCTGCTTTCTGATTCTATGGGTGGCTTGCCTCCCGCTGTCACAAATGCTTAATGTTTGTTCAAATGTTCTGCAAACCTAAAACAATGTGGTAGGAAGTAAAAATGCATAGCCTTAACTGAGGATCGGTGGTTAATGCAACATTTTAAAGGAAGCGTCACAGATTTGGAATTTCAAAACATTCTTCATCTCTATCGCTGCTTGTAATGGAGGATGTTCAAATTCTGTATCCCTCTTCTCCCCAGTGAACTGTGAAAGACACTTTCCTTGTAAACCTTAAGCAGTGAGGTGTCACCATTGATTCTTTTGTGTTTTTGTAAGTGGTTTCGAGCAATTGGCCAGGTAGCACTTCCATGAAAGGGATTATCAGCGAGCTGGAAGTTGATTGGGTCACTGAGATTTGCGCTTAAGTAGTCCCACTAAAGGAAGATGTGAGGGCGAAGCCGAGGTTATCAATGTAAGGAGAAATTGAATGACTTCAAATCAGGGGGTACCAAGTGCGAGTCCCACTGCAGTCAGCATGTCGTTGTGTCCCTGGGCAAGACACTTCACCCCAAATTGCTCCTGTGGGGATTGTCTACACAGTACTGAATGTACTGTATGTTAGTCGCTTTGGATAAAAGCGTCTAACAAATGACATGTAATGTAATGTAATGTAATATGCTGATATGATTAGATTTTTCAATTAAGCTTCAGTGATGCTAATGATATTAAAGGTTTAGTTGCAATGTGTAGTAACTTCTTTTATTTTAGGCAGTAAAAACATTTATTTGCTTCTTGACAGAAGTTAAGGGTAAAATGTTGAAGGTAGAAAAGGAAATGCTTTTATTTTGAAGTGCAAGTATGTGTCCTGCTTTTTGCTCCTTCCTGTTTTGATATAGAAATGAATATGAGTATGTCGAGTGCATTTTCTCCGTCCTCCACTGTTCTTGTTGGAAACTGTTAAATGAATATAAAGTAAACGCGTTCAGTTTGGACAAGAATCGCTTGGTTCTTCATTCGAAGCTTCAGTTACACAACACAATGACAGTTAGCCTACAACCTCCAGAACCAGAACCTACAACCTGCAGAAGAATATCCCATGGTACACTTTCACCTGGGAGAGTTAACAAGGTCGTTTCAGCATGAGTGCAAGATTAGAGAACAAGACGGAGCAGTAGGGTGCAGGATGTTGAAAAAATTATTCATCACTCCTCGAAACCAATAGCTGACCTTGCTCACCTCCAAGCTAGGCAGCAAAGAGTGAGCACTTGCTCTAAAAGGTGTGATTCTGAATACATTACGGATGGCAATGTGCCTGAGGATACCTTAAATTATAAAGAACAGTCCAACAGCATTTAATTCCCTTGGCACTATCTACCCTTTTTGAGACAGGGGCTCGTCTCAACTAGACAAGGGATTGTCTGCACTTCCTGTCTCACTGTATAAATTGCATTTGTCCTACGTGTGTTATGATATATGGATTTCAGAGGATTACAAGACGTCCCTGGCATTTTACTAATCTGCAACCGTAACTTTCCTGGGTGGTTTAACAGGGTGAAGGGCTCTTACTGTGATTAGACATTTGCCAATTTCCCTTTCCAAGCATCACATTGAGCCTGTTTTACATTCTAACCCAATAAAGGTAAAATCCTCTGCTTACATTTATAAAAGGTTTTCTGCGGAAGCCTTGCTTTGAGTCCCGTCCCCTTATTCTGGTTTTCTTCCATCATAATATGCTTCCTTTGTTGCTGATAGTATCACCTTGGAGGGTCACGGCAAGAGATTGCCATCATATTGAATGGGAGATGTAGCAATGTGTTCATTTAATCATTTAATAAGAGCCCGAAACCTTCATCGAATCCAGCTCAATAGATTAATTTGACCTTTTTTGGGAAAAATGGGTTAGGGTCATGATGACTTGATTCATTCCATAAAAAAATCATGATCACTCTCTTCTAATGCCATTTTTTAAAGCTATAATCTGTGCTTTATTTAAAGTGGACCTATCATGCTATATTTGAATAATATAGTGTAGGACCATACCTATATAAGGCATATTTATACTTTTTATTTTTCAAAATACCAAACAGATCATGCATTTTAGCCATTCCTCATTTCGCTCAATTTAACACTGTCTTTTCATGGGCTGATTCTGTGAGAACAGCATCATCTACAGGCCTGGCATATGTACTACAGCGTCTCCAGCGCTTTCAAACGGCAATGTCCGTGGCTGTCTCCTCCTGATTGGTGGAGTTGGCCCAATAGCCGTAGCGCCACTTCTGTGACGACATAAGAGTGTTCAAATCTGGATCAGTCTGTATCAGATCCGTTGCAGCCCCTTTTTTAGAGATTTGGGTATGGAGGAAAATAGAGAGGGTTGTGTTTTCTGACACTTGGTGAGTTCCCTGGAACACCAGGGACACATAATCATGTATAAAAGACGTACAAAAGTGCATTTTGCATGATAGGTCACCTTTAAACTCCAACCCCAGAGTCTGAACTTTTGCGACCCCACACCCCATGGAAGTTTTACCATAGTGGAAATAGTGCTTGTTAAACCCCGCTTAAAATAGAAATGTTGAATGGATTTTTTTATTTTAGCTATATTTTTTTGTACAAATGTCAGTGTAATTTTAAGTGAAGTTGCTTACTTATCTAAGTTCCGATTTCACTTCAGCTATTTGAAGCTATAGCCAAGAGACTACTAGCATAGCAGCAAGACTTGACAACAGGAAACAACTAACCTAAAAAATGCATACCGGCACCTCTAAAGGCCGCTAAATATCAGACCAAGTTGTAGTTTTAAGGGTTTTAAGGGTCAGGACTATTTCTCGGATAGACGTATTGACTTTCTGAAGTCTTTGGTTGTTTCGTGCTCCTTGAAGTTACTGCTACCTGCCAATAAATATTCCACCACATAACCTACAACCACAACTTATCTTTTAAACAAACAAAATAAATACACATTAGCAAGTGAGCTAATGAGGTGCGACAGGTGGATTTTCTTGCCCTGAATTGACTCAGGTGAGCTGTGTTCCCCTGCTTTGAGTTTTCACGCTAAGCTTAGCTCAACTACAGATGGCTGTCGCTTTGTCATCCTCAATATTCCCATCTAACTCTCTCCAAAAAAGCACTTTCGCTAATACTAAGCAAATGTTTTATCCAACTATTCCTAAGGTATATATCGGATATGGATAGCAAACGGGGGGGCTCACTCCTTAATTGTCCTAAACAAGATGCGTCACCTTCTTTCTTCTTGCATTTACGCTGTCTGTCTCTTGAGGGCCCAATCATGATATTATGTGCTGGTTAAAAATAGAAACCCTCTCAAATCCATTCTATCTAAGCGTGTAACAGTTTTTCAGATTTTTAACTGAAAAAAAAGCTTTGTGTTATTTTGCGTCTGCTAAAGTGACTTTTTAGAGTTGCCCATTGGGACAGCAAAACAAGATTATAATACCCTAAAAGCAAAGAAAACAAGATTACATGTAAAGGATGCATTATATGAATTGAATAGAGTATCACTGTTCACTCAATCTACTTTGTATCCTTCTTGTTCTCCCCTCTCTTTCTCAGCTGTTCTCTCAATTGTGGGAAACCTGCTGGTCCTCATCATGGCAGTCAAGAGGTCATCAAGGATGAAACCACCAGAGCTGCTGAGTGTGAATCTGGCCGTGACAGACCTGGGAGCAGCTGTTGCCATGTACCCTCTCTCTGTGGCAGCAGCCTGGAACCACCACTGGCTCGGGGGAGACGCTTTGTGTTTATACTACGCTCTGGCAGGGTTTTTCTTCGGTGTCGCCAGCATAATGAACCTGACCTTCATGGCAATAGTGCGCTTCGTTGTGTCCCTCAATCTGTCACCCAGTGAGTAATTCATGGTTGGAAATACTGCTAGGAAATACCTGACCCCTGTAGACCTTATTTTATATCCAGGAGACAAGGGCATTCTAATTCAAGACGTGACTCTTTGCACGGCGAGGGATTCTAGCACTACCTTTAAAGGATTTTCAGTCAATCTCCAAGGTTTTATTTTATATAGGAAAAACAACAAATCTACAAATTCTACATTCAATTAGTACTTCCTTTTTTTATAACATTTTGAAAATTGTTGGAGCATCCTGTCAGAGAAGTATGGTAACCATCTGTGTCTGTGCTTGACTGAGTTTCTATCTAGTCAGGTTCTCTTGTTAGCTTTGTTCCCAGACACTTGAAAATGTATCAGAACACACTGTATTGACAGCAGACCTTTTTCTAAGCCGACAACCACGATGGCGGCTGTGATCCTGAGATAAACAGACTGGTTTGACAGCGCAAGAGATGTAGTAATTAACTGTGAAAAGGTTTAGACTCCCAAGAGGTACCAGGTGGGTGTAGTCAAGTGGAATAGTCCTATTCAATAGAAAAAAGAGCCACATTGTAGAAGACATACTAAAAGCTTTTTAATAAAACAGAATCTGATATTAGTTTGTAGTTTCCACACCAAGTAATACAGGGACAAACAGCCAAGACAAGAACGGCTGGCAAAGATTTCCGAATATATGTACAACACAAATATATACAGAATACATCTACATACATTTGTTCATATCTGTAAATATAAAATAAAACATTCTGTCTTCATATAAAAACAGGTCCATTTCGCTGCAGGCTTAGAGTTGTTCGTAAATCATCAAACAAGTTGTTCGTAAATCGTCATCTGTTGCAAAAAATCATATCTTTGCCAGATTACCAATCCATGCAGGAGATCAATCAGAGAATACAATAGATCAGAATTATTATTATTTTTTTATATTCGATACAGAGAACTTTGAAAGGACGTAGTTTTTTATTTGACTCTCTAATGTCATATTGTAATCCGCTTAACAGAGCAATACAGAAACGGATGTCATCGCCTTGTTTTTGTTTATCCGTTTCTGAATTTAAATGCAGATATGTACTTATATGTTCCTGTGTCATCTGGTCACAAATATGAGACTTAATTGCCTTAATCTTATTAAGACAATTAACTATTGTCTTGTCTAAGTCTATGATTATTTTAGAATTGTGGGTTGTTGGTTTGTGTTCATGTTGCGTGAGACATTATATTCAGCAGAAGTCTCCACGTTTGCAGTCAACCAAAGTAGCTTGTAAGTATACTTGCAGAAAAAACACACGACCACATCACACTGAGTTTGGCCTGGAGTACAGACCGTTTATTACATCTGCACATGCTTTTTAGCATCACCACGTTTCAGGCACATTCTGATGATGTCATACACATGAACTGAAACATGACTTTGTTCTTATACAAATATGCTTAACAGTTCAACTAAGAGGTTAAAATACAAGACGCTGTTTGTTGCAAACTGCCTTGAAGTTGAGGCCGCTTATATCAGCATTTCCCACATGTCTTAATAGCAAAAGTTGTCCATAGTCATTCAGTTTAGCCATTATAATGTTTTTAACCTTTTTTCTGAGCTCTCTTTGTTCATTACAGTCTGCATGCGATTTTGGAAAAATGCAGGAATCATGGCAGGAATACAGCCCCTCCTTTTTGAATAAAATGTAGCAAATACACATAGTGCTTTAATAAAGGACCATCTGTCTACAATGAACCGTGGGTAAACAACCAGACCAACAAATAAAAACAGCACACCTTTTTTTTCCCTGCAGATGAGAAAATCGGCTGGAGAAAGGTGAAGGTTCTGTGTCTCTGGGTCTGGCTGTATGGTCTGATCTGGGCTCTGTTGCCCGTCCTGGGCTGGGGGCGTTACGGCCCAGAGCCCTTCGGCCTGTCCTGCTCTCTGGCCTGGGGACAAATGAAAAATGAGGGTTTCATCTTCGTCGTCAGTTTATTTACCTTCAACCTCGTCCTGCCTTCCATCATCATACTCTGCTGTTACTTTGGCATAGCCTTCAAGCTCTTTTTCACCTACAAAAATTCCATTTCCAAAATCAACCGAGTCCCCAAAAATATCAAGCTCCATCGAAGGCTGTTGGTGGTAAGTGACTCTCACCAATGACACCTGTCATTGTAATTCCGATTCCTGTTTGTCCTTGGGGGCTTCAATATCTGTTTGAATATCTTAGTTATGTTAGCAGTGGCAGGTTATTTAATGATTCATACTGTATGCATATTTAAAATTCACAAATGCAAACAGTCCCAGTAGCTGCTTATGTAACATGTACACTTACATTCTGGTGTAGCGACTCCGTCTTTCAAAAACAAAACCTAATCAAAATCTGATCTTAGCCGTATATTTGGAGACATGCTTATTAGTTTTAGCTTGCTATTTCAATTACTTCATCAATTTAGATTACTATTTGAACCGTTCATATATAACTTTTAGTTATTTAAATAATGTATCTATTGTTTAGAGTTAAATGGGGTACATTTTCACACACTCATCTGTAGCGCATTATACAACCAACTCAATATGTAAAGATATTTGTTTTTAGTTACGTTTAGCTACTCTACAATCTTGAAAAAAGACTCTTGGGTTCAAGTAGCCTACCGCTAGTTGGAAAACAATGGTATAGAGGACTTTTAAACTTTTTTCAAGCCACTTTTGCGAAGGATAGCTAGCAATACTTTGTTTGTTTAATGAAATTCTTGAATCTAAGATCAGCTGCTTAGTACAAGCTGTATATTGTTGCCCCGAGACTGACAAACATGTCAAATATTGGATAACTGGTGGAATTGAATTTACATTCTGATTTTATAATTACCAAGGACAATACAGTTGAAAATGTTTACAAAAATATTACAACACATGGTATAAAGGGCATCTAGCAGACAGAATTCAGGATGGGAATGCGGGACAAAACATCTATAAAAAACCATAGGAAGGTTTTTTATATTTTCACATTTTAATGACTGTTCTTCGATTCTATTGCAGATTGGTGTGGTCATCAGCTTTGGCTTTATAGTATGCTGGACACCCTATGCCATCGTCAGCATGTGGTCTATTCTGGGGGACAGCAGCAGCATCCCACCTGAAGTCAGTCTCCTCCCGTGCATGTTTGCAAAGAGCTCCACTGTGTACAATCCTTTGATCTACTACATCTTCAGCAAGAGTTTCAGAAGGGAGGTGAAGCAGCTGGGCTTGTGGTGCCTCGGCTGGAGCCCCTGCCATGCCTCCAACACCATCAAGGACAACAACATTAGCATGAGTCATGCTGGTGACAAGAGCAAAGTAGAAGTACTGACCACTTTGCAGCAGTTCGTGGAGTAAAAGACTTTAGGGTTGAAAGACTTTGTGCTGGTTATGTGGGGGAATAAGTCGTCTCATGATTTCACAAATGTTATCACTAGAAAACACTTGTATTTGTATTGTATTTTTTCCGGTACAACTTGTGTGTGCCGTTATGACAAAATGAGCAGGGTAATAATGGCTTCTTTTACATGCGGTCACGATGAAAGAGACGGGGTGTTTGCACAATATGTTACATGCCGTGAAAGTTGAGCCAACTAACCAATTGTTAAGAATTAACAATGTGCTTGCAAGTGTCTTTGCACCCCTAAACCAACGTAGCCCATTAAAAAAATACCTATTTACTGTTGAGTTATAGAAAGATGTGAAAGAAGCTAAAGCGACATCCACCTTTCATAAAAGAATCATGCATTTCACATCACATACCAAAGGTTGTACAGCAGAACACAACAAAAACATTAATATTGAGCACAGAAAGAAGAAGAAATGTTTAATCGAATACTTCAGGTTTAATCTGTAATAGATATACTTGTTTGTTGGAAAAATAACTCACCAAATCAGTACATTCCAGAAAAAAGGAATAACCGTTCAGGGATGACGTCTGCCAAATGTTTAAATTAAGTGACAGCTGCTCATGTTTCATAAGTTTGCCTCTTAAAGTGTTTACAGAAGTGACACCCACTTTCCTTGTTTACCCTGTCTGATGCATGTACTGTATATTGGCTTCTCTTTCAATTTTAAGCAGCAATCTACATGTTGTTAAGGAATGTGATAAGGTGTTCTATTTTGAGGATAAAACTGTTCTTATAACTTTCTTACCAAAAAATGTGGTCCAAAGCCAAACATATAATGTATTCTACCAACAAACATTGCATTGTATAACATCTAGACTGATGTTCATTTTTAATGAAATATAATGACAATTTATGCCTTTTTTTGCAGAAGATTTGCTAATTTATTTGGTTTCCTGCTGGATGTTTGATGGGAAAGTCAACACCGCTTTGGTGTATGTAATTATACTCTATTATGTATTCTCAAGCTACAACCCATTAGCTGAGTCTGGCATAAAGACTGTAAATGGGGGGAGAAGTGCCTCCCTCCAAAGGTATACTTATTTTTGCCTGGTAGGCAGATTTAGCTATTTTCCGTTGTTTCCAGATTGTGTGATAAACTTTGCTAAGCTAACTGCTGGTGGTGGCTTTATATTAAATAGATCGATATAAGAGTGGTGTCAGTCCTGTCATCTCTCTAAATTTGACAGCTAAAAGTCTGTTTGAACAGTTTCTGAACATAAATGCAGTTTACCTAGACAGTTCATTTAACAGTTCAAAGACACAGTGCTTTACAAAACAGTCAAGAAAGTCTCAAGTTCAGGAGCTTTTGACCGTATCGCACAGTCCTCATTAGCCGATGGACTTCGCTCAGTCACAATAGATCTAGACACTTTTAAGTGGATGAAATAGTTCCACGAAAAAAAACTCAGCCTGATAATGAGAAACCACATGATACAGTTGAAGGCGCACAGTACTGTTTTTTCACAAAGAAATAAGGCTTTGGCTATACAGTCAGTGCTTGTTAGTAGAATAAAGATTTATTCTCCTTTACATTTGATTTGTTAATAATTAAAATAAAACAATCTCAATCCCCTTAAATAATGTACTTGTAACTCCGAACTGTGAGAACTATGAAAATAAAAGCTTTTAGAAATGAGTGTGTAGCCGATTTTCATTCCCCAGGGTATAAGTAGAACAGGCAAGTGAGAGTGCGTATGGAACGTACTTTAGTACATTACTTATAGTAAATGTTTTAAAGAGTGGCTGTGAATATCAATAGGTTTGTACAACACGCAGAGGATGCATCATTGCCTATTACAACTTATGTATGTAGACTGATACACACACATAGGGACCACATCTTTTTTGAAAGTGTCTGGACAACACTGTGATGAAAGGGTATTCCTGAGGTAGATAAACTCTTCCACCAGCAGAAGAATTAAGTTAAGGGTTCACCGCTGTGCTGTCACGTTATGTAATTGGGAGAGAATAGATGTATTTTCTCCATCTTCGACACCTTATTAAACCTTCAAGCACTACGATGGATTTTTGATAGGGATTATACAGATAATCGATACCCTGTGGCTACATTTTGCCACAAATGAAATGAGAGTGTAAATTATGTTATCTTGAAGGACGCTAGGAAAATAAAAGACATCTTACAAACAACCAGGTTGAAGCGTTTTGGTAGCCGACTGGTTACAGAGCCATACTGTAAAACAGAATATATACTCCATAAAGAAAGTACATGTAAATTGTGTTCATTTGCATGAGGTGTACAAAAGACAGACACACTGACTCACACACTACCTCTAGAAAGCTAACAAAGCAAGAACTTTTTAATGAAATCATACTGCTCTAATATATAGTCATGGTTGTCTTGTGATCACGCCCCCTTCTCTAAACAACATTCAATACCAAAACCATTTCGCAGCAATGGATGATAACCCTCTTTTTTGTTATGAAATTAAAATATCCATTTAAAAAATAGTAAAAAAATACTGAATCACTAAGCACCTTGAGTCAAAAAACATAGAAAACTGCCAAGAACAATTGGAAGAGCAGCCAGTACAGGATGAGGATGTTACTGTCAAAAAAACACATTAAACAATTAACTAAATGACGCAGACAACACTCTGTTGTCTTGATTGAAATATCTAATTGAATGGGTTAAACAAATGGCTAAACATTTGGCAATAAGATATCATAATCGGCCACTGCTTCTACGTGTTCTCCTTAAACAATGACCACTTCAACGAGAGCCATGCTGCATTTGGTATTGATCTCTATGTATTGAAGTTGAATAGGTAAATGGGGACTTCAATGACGTAGTGACACATTCAGTCGAGCCTCTAATAAGTAAACATTAAAAAGCTTGTATTGACATTTTTTTTTATGGATTGCATTGATAACATTGTCTAATTTATTCTTGAGAACTGTTGCCTTTTATTTTCTTAGAAATAGATGAAATGCCTTGTTGTTGGCTTGTAATTGAAAAGCTTGTATTTATTTTTTAAATGTGTATTGCATTGTCTCGTTTATTCTTGAGCATTGTTTTCATTTGTTAGGAATAGATTCAACACTGGGTTTTTGCGGGATTTTATGATAATGTGCATGTCAAAATAATAAAAACTAAAGTGTTTAGAAAGTGTTTCGTTTACTTTCAGTCAACAAATCCTTTGGAAAGACAAAAAACAACTATTCAATATCCTGCTTTAACGCGACCGCCGAAGATGAAGTCTATGACGCTATCGCGTAGAGCTACGTCGTTCCTTGCGTAATGCGGAAGTGGTTAAATCTAAACTGGGTTGGAAAAACGATAGACGCAGCCCATACTGTACAAGCAGAACTGCTTTGACTCCAACAGCAAGTCATTTAAGCAATGTTGGGTTGCATAGAGCATGCAGATATACGGACAAATTGTGAATCGGAATATTGTGACAACTATTTCTGCATTGCTGTTTATAAATTCATACCCTCAGTGATGTTGACACACTGTATGATGGTGCATACACCAATCAACATAAAACATTCTCTGGCACATCTACTGTATGTAATGGTTGGAGGTTTGAGGACTGCAGAAATATTTTAGTCATCCAGCAACGCATCGAGTCATCGGGAGGCGTACTTTAGACCATATGCTGATGGATTATGTAAACAGGGCAATGTGATGTTTTAAAAACAGTTTAAACAA